ATAGATATGAAGATGGATATTGATATATCGAAGAAGGATGGATTTGTTGAATGAAAAAAAATCTATGAAGGAATATAATTGTGTATAAACCTTGGAGTATAATACATTATATTGTAACATACATATTTATAACTTTTTTTTTTTTTTTTTTAATTTTATGTATCAATATATATATATATATATATATATATATTAATACTAATAATTTTAATATAACTATTAATAACATTTATTAGGCATATTTTTTCGCTATTACATATAATATGCTTATTTTATTTTAATTTTTATTTAATTTTATTTTTTTATTTTATTTTTTTATTTTTTTATTTTTTATTTTTTTTTTTATTTTTTTTTATAATTAAACAACTAAAAACTATAAAATTTTTATTTTATAGCATAATTAATATATTATAATATTAAAATTAATTTATTCTTTTAAAAATAAATAATATAAGAATTTAAAAAAAATCTTTTGTGAAAAATCAAAAGGCAAACATTTCAATTTCAAGTATAATTTCATTTCCTATTTTCCTTAATTCATTTATAATATTTTTCCTTAATATAAATAAATAAATATAGGTTTTAATGTTAGGTTTATTCTTTAGGGTTTAATTTAGTGTTCTAAAATGAGTTTGAAAAAAACAAGAATAAGATATATATATATATATATATATATATATATATATATATATATATATATATATATATGTATTAAATATGTAAAACAAAATAGACCATTACATTTAAATTTTCATTTCAAATGGAGATGTAAGTTTTTTTGAATAAAAAAAAAAATATCTTAATATAAAAGCATTATAATTAATGTATTAAGTTTATAAACATAATTGATAATCTGTTAAATTTTATACTATATAGTAATTTGAATTAATAATTGATATGTGTATACCACATTATATAAAAATACGAAATATATATATATATATATATTTTAATATTTAATATTATAATGGATACCATATGTGTTTTTATAAAATTATATATGAATATAAATCGATATATTTATAATAAAAATAATTTTATAAGTACAAAATAGCTAATTTATAAAACATCATAAAGTTTTATTAAAAGTAAATAGTAATTTTATTTGTTTTTAAAAAAATTGAAATATATTTATATTTATATTTATAGGATTTTATTATAATACAAACGTAGTACAAACTTATATATGAACACATGTATTTTTATTTATAATTATATAAGTGTGGAATATATATATTTATAATATAAAATTATAAAAGAAAACAATAATTCATTTTTTTTGTTCTTTTTTTGTATATGAGTACTATGCATATGTAATATGAGTTTTTCATTTTATATATATAAATTATTCATCACACATATGAAAAAATGAGAAATTATTATTATTGTATATATTTCATATAAGATTAATGTATGTTATTATGGTAGTTCTAAATATATATATATATATATATATTTATAGATAGAGACAGAGGTAACATATATATTTATGATATAAAATTATAAAATTAGGATGATAAATATATTATTTTTTGTCTATGAATAATATAGTCAAGTATAGATTTTGAGTTTTTCATTTTGTATATATATATTATTTATATCACAAAAAATATAATTATTATTTTATATTTTATTTAAACTTATTATAACAGTATTTGTTCTCTTTCTATAAATATATATATATATATATATATATATTATATAATAATATAGAACAAAAACATATAATATATATTATAAAATTATAAAATATGCAATAATAATATTTTTTTTTTTTTTTTTTTTGTGGTGTCTAAGAATAATATATATAAATATACATTTTGAGTTCTTCATTTTGTATATATATATTATTTAAAGCATATAAAACGAAAGAGAATCAAAAGGGAAATTAAGTTAATTGTTTTTTTTTATATAAAATATTATTACAAATATATATGTTCCACATGTATAAGTTTATATTACAATGTGATAGTTTAATCGTTATAATATACAATATATATAGTAACCTGGTTGATCTTGCCAGTAGTCATATGCTTGTCTCAAAGATTAAGCCATGCAAGTGAAAGTACATATATATGTAATATATAGAAACTGCGAACGGCTCATTAAAACAGTTATAATCTACTTGACATTTTTTAACATAAGGATAACTACGGAAAATCTGTAGCTAATACTTGTAAAAATATCATTTGATATATACATATATATATATATATATGTATGTATCATTATGGTATGTATTTGTTAGATGTAAGAAGTAAATAAAATAAATATAATTGAATTATAACAAAGAAGGAACACATATTAAAATATAAGTGTGTATCAATCGAGTATCTGACCTATCAGCTTTTGATGTTAGGGTATTGACCTAACATGGCTATGACGGGTAACGGGGAATTAGAGTTCGATTCCGGAGAGGGAGCCTGAGAAATAGCTACCACATCTAAGGAAGGCAGCAGGCGCGTAAATTACCCAATTCTAAAGAAGAGAGGTAGTGACAAGAAATAACAATACAATATCGAAAAATGATTTTGTAATTGGAATGATAGGGATTTAAAACATTCCTAGAGAAACAATTGGAGGGCAAGTCTGGTGCCAGCAGCCGCGGTAATTCCAGCTCCAATAGCATATATTAAAATTGTTGCAGTTAAAACGTTCGTAGTTGAATACCAAAGAATCCGATGTTTCATTTAAACTGATTTGGGGAAACTATATATATATATTTTGCTTTTTGCTTAATAAGTTTCTTCTATTAATTATGTTTTTATCAGATATGAAAGTTTCTTTTAAAAATCTGTTCATTTTGCAATTTTTTTTGTTTTTTGATGGATTTTGTTACTTTGAGTAAAATACAGTGTTCATAACAGACGGCTATACAATAGATTAGTTTCATTGTGTTTGAATACTACAGCATGGAATAACAAATATGAATAAGCTAATCCTTTTTTTTTTTCTTATTTTTTTGATATTCTTATTAGCTTAGTTACGATTAACAGGAGTAGCTTTGGGGGCATTCGTATTCAGATGTCAGAGGTGAAATTCTAAGATTTTCTGGAGACGGACTACTGCGAAAGCATTTGCCTAATCTATTTCCATTAATCAAGAACGAAAGTTAAGGGAGTGAAGACGATCAGATACCGTCGTAATCTTAACCATAAACTATACCGACTAGGTGTTGGATGAATATAAAATATATATAAAAACGTAACATTTCTTAGGGGATGTTTATTTTATATTAGATTGCTTCCTTCAGTACCTTATGAGAAATCAAAGTCTTTGGGTTCTGGGGCGAGTATTCGCGCAAGCGAGAAAGTTAAAAGAATTGACGGAAGGGCACCACCAGGCGTGGAGCTTGCGGCTTAATTTGACTCAACACGGGAAAACTCACTAGTTTAAGACAAGAGTAGGATTGACAGATTAATAGCTCTTTCTTGATTTCTTGGATGGTGATGCATGGCCGTTTTTAGTTCGTGAATATGATTTGTCTGGTTAATTCCGATAACGAACGAGATCTTAACCTGCTAATTAGCGGCAAGTACACCATATTTTTAATTGAAAATGCATATAGGTAATTATGCATTTATTCAGTGTTCAAATTAGGATATTTTTATTAAAATATCCTTTTCCCTGTTCTACTATATAATACATTGTATTTTTACAATATATCATTTTTTTTTAAGAATGTACTTATTTGATTGTAAAAGCTTCTTAGAGGAACAATGTGTATCTAACACAAGGAAGTTTAAGGCAACAACAGGTCTGTGATGTCCTTAGATAAACTAGGCTGCACGCGTGCTACAATGATATATATAACAAGTTGTTAAAAATATACTAATATATTTGTATCTGTTGATACTTTGTATTTAATATGTATAGTTTTTCCTGTACTGAAAAGTATAGGTAATCTTTATCAGTATATATCGTAATTGGGATAGATTATTGCAATTATTAATCTTGAACGAGGAATGCCTAGTAAGCATGATTCATTAGATTGTGCTGACTACGTCCCTGCCCTTTGTACACACCGCCCGTCGCTCCTACCGATTGAAAGATATGATAAATTGTTTGGATATGAATTAAAATAATGAAATTTTATATTTCTGATTTTTTCTAGAAGAACTGTAAATCCTATCTTTTAAAGGAAGGAGAAGTCGTAACAAGGTTTCCGTAGGTGAACCTGCGGAAGGATCATTAATATGAAACGATTACAATAAGAAAAGAAAAGAAATGTTATATTTTTGAAAAAGGATTTTTTTTAATATTTTGAAATATTTTATTTTAAAAATATACATTTTTTTTTTTTTTTTTTTTAATGTACTTTTTTTATAAAAAGTAATAATAATATATTAAATATTTTTACTATTTTATAAAAAAAGTACATTAGAAAATTTGATATTACATAAAATTATTTTTTTTATAAAGATAATTTTTATGTAGTATCAAATTTTCATCAACAATATTTAATTCTCAATATTTTTTGCATAATTGTATGTTTTATATATATATATATATATATATATAATATTTTTATGTGTTTATTATATATTGAAGAAAAGTATATTTAAAATATAATATTTATAATTACATTTAATTTTTAATACAATTAGCATAGTCTTAACGATGGATGTCTTGGTTCCTATAGCGATGAAGGCCGCAGCAAAGTGCGATATGCAATGAAAAATGCAATTACTGTGAATCATCAGAATGCTGAATATAAACGATACCATATTTACCTGTATGGGTGAATTAATGTGGTATTCCTAAAGAAAATAAAACAATACTTTGATTCTCTAGTTTTTTTTTTTGATATATATTTTTAAACAAATATTATCTTTAAAGAAAAAGAGAAATTGGATTATTTAATAATTCCCAACTAAAAAATTAATTTTTTTAGTTAAAATTTTTCGCTGAATAAAATATACTTTTCATTCATTCTAGAGAAAAAGGTTATATATAAATTATTAGAAATAATATTTCTTTATATTTCTTTTTTTACAAAG